TGCCTGTTCACTTCTTCCCTAGGGAAGAACAAGAATTTTTTTTTTTTGAATGGTGTCTCTCCTCGAGCCGCATGCGCCTCTTCTCACTTTCCCGCTCGGTCTCGCGAGAAACAGGTCCGAAGGCCGCTGCTCTCCCTCCCTTCGAGCATGAAGTCTGTCGCCGACCTTCTCCTCGCCGGCGAAACCCGCCGCCGACGTCCTTTCCATGTTGAAGCCTCCTGCCCGAGGATTCTTGCACAAGGTCTCCAAGCGTTCTTCCCCTCCCGGGCAGTCGCAAGCACAACCATCCTTTCTTGCCGTGATGCTTCGTCGGCCTTCTTCGGCGCCGGCATTGGGTTCTCACCGACCCCAACCTCCTTCCCAGGCAGCCACCATTTTTTGGCTCTTCCTTCTCTTGGCCGACCACATGCCGACATCCTCCCTCTTATCTCGTCACCGATGTATCGCTGGCACTCCTTGCAGCAAATAGAAATACAAACTCCCATTTTTTTTTCTCTCTGTTTTGAACTACTCCTATCCAAAACTTGGGACGCAGAAAGAACGAGGTAGATCTAATTTAAACTTTGCTCTAAATCCTTTATTATACGCCATAAATTTGATTCATAGATATAAAATCTTGTCACATTAATGCTTTAATTTGTAAAATTTCAAAGCATTGAGGATTAAGCTAAATCAAAACTATTCTTTTGTGAGTTTGTCTCACTTTGATTAAGCAAATGTGGATCCTTTGTGATTTGTAAATAAACATGTGTGGATCTTTTTCTATATAAAAAAAAGCACATAAAAATTATGCTAACGACTTGTTGTTCTGATATCTTCTATTCTTGGGGAACAATGTAGGCTAGCTCGTTGTATAGAATCCTCATGCAAAATATTTGTGATTCATTGTGTGATAAGTTTGGGAAAGCTTAGGTCCGAGTGACCCTTGCTCGAAGGTACATTTTGGTTATACTTTCATACGCCTAAATTAATTATTTTTGGATACTTTGCATACCTCATTGCCTATTTTATTGTTTCGTGCATGATCTGCGAGACAATTGGCGCACGGACTGGACCACCGCCGGCGTTCGCCGAATACGTGGGTTTTCCTTCAGCATAAAAAGAACGCTTCTGCAACCTTCACGGTAGTGAGATCCCCTAAACTTCTTGCTAATCCTAGGTTTAGTGGTGTCTAAGCATGTGGATTCGATCGCCCACATGGGTGCGTGCACCGGCGAGGGTAGGCGAGACGACGTGCCTGCGTGATGGATCATTGGTTTTCCTAGAGCTAGCCTTTAGGTTAGGACTTCTTGTGCGTGACCAAACACCCTCCGTGGAGCCGAGTGTCTCTCCTTTGTTGCGAGTCTTAGCACAAGTCCTGATGGGTCGGAATCTCTCACTCCCCTTGTTTTGGGTTCCCCAGCTTTACTTGGAGAAGTTGGGTGGTCGGACTTGACAAAACGAGAGAATACTGCCCTTCTTGCCTCTTTTATTGTTTCGTGCATGATCGGTGAGACAATTAGTGCGCCGTCGTTGGAAGTCCCCCCCCCCCCCCCCCGAGAGATCCAGGGAGAAACTTCTCAAATTTCCTCACCAAAACAAGAGGCAGCGGGGTCATATATCTAAGGGTCTTAACTTTAAGTTTCCCAGGTGATGTTGTTATTACGAGCGTGGCTCGCTATCATATGTGGTCATATGCATGTCATTATTCACATGTGCATGTCTTGCATGTTACATATTGTATGTCATATTTCGCACTTGCACTTGCATTTCGCACTTGCACTTGCACCTTGCACCTTGCATTTTCACGTTGCACTTGCACCTGCACCACTTGTGTCTCGATCGGTAGTCCCTGACCGGTCGACACCACTTGTGCCTCAGTCGGTTATCCTAAATCGGTCACATCACTTGTGTTTCAGTTGGCTACCTTGACCCGGTTGGTACAACACTTTGGTTTGACCGGATGCTCCATCCCGATCGACCTACCACTTGCTCCTTTGCATTTTGTATATGTGCATATACATGTTTGTCTGCATGATTGATATCATCTACTTTTGCTGCATTTCTTTGGATCACTGTCTTACCGGTATACCCTCTCATCCTCTCTTTCCGGGTCCCTGCCACCACAGTATGCCTATTCCTTCAGGCCCACCTTCGAGTTATTGACTTACCGGCATACCCTCTTTTCATGCTGCCGTCGTCACGGCATGCCCACCTTCGGGTCGCTGCCGCCACGACATGCACATTCCTTCGGGTCACTGCCTTACCGGCATACCCTCTTTTCGAACCCCTGTTGCTACAGTATGCTCATTCTTGTGAGTCACTGCCTTCATGACATACTATTTATCACTACTTATATATTTATATTTGCTTGCATTAGTATTTGCATTTGCATGTTTGCATGGATAGTGGGCCAGTTTCGTTAGGAGAGTGACCCCGTGTCAGTCGCGATACCTTAATGAGCATTGCTTGCTGGGTTGATCTCAGTGAGCAATGCGAGTTAAGTCATCATGATTGACACATGAGTATGACTGTGCTAAATATCTAATAGATCTAACTCGTGTCACCATTCTTCGTGACACCCTTTAGATTCTTCGGATCTTTAGGATGGGGCCGGTATGACGACCCCGTCAAAGTCATACTATACCTAGATTTACCCCTCACTTAGATACTAGGTTAACGCATCTTTCGCTAGATGGTGTACTAGGCTAAGACTTAGGGTGCTAGGTAGTCTTTTTGATGTCTGGCTATTGTTCTTTGTTGGATTGGTTGCCCTAGCCAAGTATCTTTCTTTTCATTATGCTTATGGTGTGATTATATGTTGCATATGTGTGGTAGTGTGTTAGGGTGTTCTTCTGCAGGGAGCCATATCTATTTATTTTCACACACACATATACCGCTGGGGGGGAGAAAATAATGATTCCTGACCCTTTTGCTTGCAGGTGCTATTAGTTCTCCCACCTTTAAGGCATGGCTCATGATACACTATTTGCATGTGAGTTTTCCCGCTTACACTTATTTTTATGCAGGATTGAGTCTTTTTCTTCTCTCTATGTACTTTTAGAGTCTAGGAGAGTACTGTAGCAGAAATAAGATATGGGCACGGGTTCAGAGGCATTTGTCTCAAGAACCATGTAGAGGAGATCAAGAGCAGATGCTAATGCCTCGTATCTTAATTCTGCATTTTATATTGATATATATAACTAGGACTTGGCATGTATATGCGGAGTCCGACTGCCTTTTTCTTTTTTACGATATGTTGCCGACTC